CCTAGCTCCCTGGGCTGCAGGACCCTGCCCTGCAGTTTGGGCATTCACGGTGCCATTGACCTCCCATCTGCATCCTCGGACCACGGACACAACAGCAATTACAGCATTAACTGGTAAGATAGATGGCAGAGTTTCATACGGAAACCAAAATCGGCTGGAAGCCAAAATTCCCCCCAAGATCCTTACAATTTGCTTCTTGGCAATGCTCTGCACCTCCTGCCAGACGCATCCAGGCTTCCTGGTGCTGTTTCTATGAACAGGCTAGTCGAAGATCATCAAAACTGTTTCTCGAACTTAAAAAATGGGAAGTTACGCAAATCAATTCTTTTTACAAGAATGCCTGAGGCTGAGCATTAATTTTTGGAAGCTGAAAGACCAATTTCCAAAATGTTTAGACTAGTTTCTAATCATGTCCAAAAGCCATCCCAGTGCATGTATTCTTCTTTGCTCTTGACATCCAGCAAGCAAATAATGTTCTAATCTTCGCTCACAAAATGCAGCTTTTCATTATTGTCTATTCAACTTTACTCAGAAAAGCCAAGTTCTCCCATAGAAAATAAAATAGGGAAATCTTGTCATTTAATCTCTATGGCCCTTGAGCAAACAAACCCCTCAATAAATAATATTTAAAGGAGGTAATTTTTCTTCAGCCTCACCACCATTCTTTCTGCCTATGCTTTCCACTTTGCACAGATCAAAACAGTACGTTTTTCTCATCTAGAAAGCTCTTTGTTGCTATAAATGTAGCTGTTTTCTCCATGTTACAAAACGCAGAGAACGTACTTGCTCCACTGCAACTACCAAGAGTTCCAAATTCAGAAACAAAACCCGGTTACGGGTTTGTTGGGTTTTGGGGTTTTTTTTTGCCTGGTTGCAAGCGGTGGCCACCGTGGCCAGCGGCAGCGGCCGGCCCGGAGGTGCTGGGGAGGCAGAACCCGGCACACGCTGGGCCCAGGCTGGCTCCGCCATCAGCTCCGCGCCTCACCGGCGGCCCGCCGGGTTTTCCTCGCTTTCCGACCCAAATTTCCCTCCCGGGAAACGGAAGGGGGCAGGAACCGCCATGAGTGGCGTCTGCCCCAGCGACCCCGCGAGCTGCAACCCACCAGGCCGCGGGCAGACGCGCCGAGCCCACGGGAGGACGCTTCCCCGCCCTTCCCCTTGCTCCCACTCCCCCCCCCCGCACCGCGCCGGTGGCACCGGCCTGGCCAATAGGGGCGCGGGCCGCCGGAGAGCTCAGCCAATCGGCGTCCGCGCAGGTGGCCCGCGGCAGTGGTGCGGAAGGGCGCGGGGGGGGTCCGGCGGGCGGGCAGAGGGCGAGCCCCGAGCGCCGTGGAGCGAGGGAGCTGGCGGAGCCGGCCCGCTGCTCCTCCGGCTGCCCCGCTTCTCACCCGGGCTCCCCCGCTTCTCCCCCGGGCTCCCCCGCTTCTCACCCGGGCTCCCCCGCTTCTCACCCGGGCTCCCCCGCTTCTCACCCGGGCTCCCCCGCTTCTTGCCTGGGCACCGGCTGCTGCCCGGGCCCCTTGAGGTGTCGGGAGAGTGGTGGCCCCAGCGGGATAGTAAAACAAAATAAAAGAAAATTCAATAATATAAAATTAGAGGAGAAAAGAAAAGGAAAAGGAAAAGGAAAAGGAAAAGGAAAGAAAAGAAAAGAAAAGAAAAGAAAAGAAAAGAAAGAAAAGAAAAGAAAAGAAAAGAAAGAAAAGAAAAGAAAAGAAAAGAAAAGAAAAGAAAAGAAAAGAAAAGAAAAGAAAAGAAAAGAAAAGAAAAGAAAAGAAAAGAGAAAAGAAAAGAAAAGAAAAGAAAAGAAAAGAAAAGAAAAGAAAAGAAAAGAAAAGAAAAGAAAAGAAAAGAAAAGAAAAGAAAAGAAAAGAAAAGAAAAGGAAAAGAAAAGAAAAGAAAAGAAAAGAAAAGAAAAGAAAAGAAAAGAAAAGAAAAGAAAAGAAAAGAAAAGAAAAAGAAAAAGAAAAAAAGAAAAAAAGAAAAAAAGAAAAAAAGAGAAAAGAAAAGAAAGGGGAAAAGGGAAAAGGGAAAAGGGAAAAGGGAAAAGGGAAGGGAAGGGAAGGGAAGGGAAGGGAAGGGAAGGGAAGGGAAGGGAAGGGAAGGGAAGGGAAGGGAAGGGAAGGACAACATAAGACAAAACAAAATAAAATGAAATATTTTTAAAATAAAATTTAAATAGAATAAAATAAATTTAAAAACAGAAGAAAAATTAAAAATAATAATAATAAAAGAGCTCTTCCCACGCGAGGGCTGTGGCGGCGGCCCCGCGCAGGATCCGCACCGCGCTCCGGCCCGCCCGGCCCCGCCGGGCCCCGCGGAGCCGCCCGGGGCGGGGTCAGCGCGGCCGCCAGCTCGGGCCGCGCAGCGCCGGCGGAATTGCTCCGCGGGGCTTGCGCGGCGGCGGTGCGCATCCCGGGCGGGTGGCCGGAGCGCTCTCTGCGCCCCCGCGCAGGGACCCGGCGCTGGAGTGCGCGTCTCCGCGAGGGACGGGGCGCTAAAAATGAGAAGTGGCAGAACTTCTTCCTGCGCCTCCCCCCACACACTTTTTGTATTTCGATGTAGCCACTGCAGAGCAGATTAAAAAAAAAATAATAATAATAAAGTTATGGTTTGGTTTTTTGGGTCTGCTTTTTTTTTTTTTTTTGTTCTCGACTTTGGTCCTTTGCGGTTGGTTATATTTAGCTCAGTTTGTGTTTCGTTTCTTAACTCAAAGACGAGATTCATTTTTAGACATACAGACCGTTAATTCACACAAACTGACTGCCCAGACTCCCTGTTTTGTTTTTTTTTTTTATAACGGCGGCCCAAGTATCACGATTTGCTGGGACACTTCTATTAAAACACACAAACTCCACTGATACGTAAATAATTCCCGGATCACAGTTTTATTATCCCACCCTTTCCACAACGTCATGTAGCGTTTCCACAACGTCATGTAGCCTACATGAGGCATTTCTCTCCTGCCTGCCCATGGGAAGGCAGCAGATAAATATTGAAACCAAGACCTGGCCGGCTGCGTTGCGGGTCCTGACAACAGGATTTTCGCCCCTGCGGACGGATGAACAAGGTCCCACTCCCCGCAGGAGAGACCTTTTCCACTGACTTTCATAACAGAAAAAACACATCTTACGCTCGGGGATAAATACGAATAGAGTGAGCACTAGCCCAGACAAAAAAAAAAAAAAAAAAAAAAAAAAAAAAAAAAAAAACCTCATAATAATAATTTAAAAATCCTAAATCCTACAGCTTTTGAATATAAATCAAACCTTTAAAGGAAATCCAAGCCTGGCATTTGAATTCCCATTTCCTATTACTGTCAGTGAGCAAACGGAGGATGAGTTATAGATCTGAGATTCTGTCACCTTCGTACCTGAGATGCTTTCAGACGCTGGGAGGAATTTGTTTGTGTTTTACATTGCGTCACCTACACCCTGGAATGAAATAGGGCCCGATCCTGGAACCTCACACTCTGCTAACTCTCTCCGCCTCAAGCGAGGAGGTTTGCCACCTGCATCAGAGTCGTGAGCAACGCAAAATCAAAAAGCGGGGCTCCCTCCTGCCGCCCCTGCCTGCCCGAGTGGAAACTGCCACCCAAGGCGCCAGCTCGGACCCGAGTGGGGGACACACGCACAGCCAAGGCGCCACTAGTGGCAGCGTTGCATTGCTTCGTGTGGTGACCTGGAGGATTTTCCAGGGGAAACCGTTGTTTTTCTGGCAGTCCTTTTTAAGTTGAACACGTTTCAGGTTTTTTTCAGACCAATGGTGTAAGATTTTTCCCTCGGATAAAAGTAACAGCGATTCTAAAGAAATGTGTTGGCAAAAGGGGCACGTTTGACAGAACACAGATAAAGCAGACTAACTAGTGTTCAGCCTTTGGCAACTCTGCGCTGGTCCGGAGGGGGGGAACAAAAAAAAAAACAAAAACAAAACAAAACAAAACAAAACAAAAACAAAACAAAACACAGGGGAAAAAAAAAAAAAAAAAAAAACATAACGGATTTGGGGTTTGTTCTGCTGAGTGAGAGAAGGAAAATACTCAGACGAAATATTCAGGGTCAAATTCCTTAGAGCTTGGTCCAAAGAGGCTGAATACAGCGGGATCTGGGCTGAGCTCCTTCTTGCAGAAGCGCTATGGAGAAAGATGAGATCTTGCTGACAGTAATTCAGTGAACAACGAGACAAACGGTAGTTTGTCATAACTTTATTTAAAAAAAATAAAATAAAATAAAATAAAAATGGCATGACAAACCGGAACCAAGACCAAAATACTGTATCCACTGTACATCATTCATTAGAAAACAAACATACACCACATTTGTATTCTACCAAACAGAGAGTGTATTTTCTTTAAAATTATATAGTGCGTGCTTTTAGATTCATGCTTTTCAATATTTATTTTACATTTGTTACTCAAATATCATCTGTTATAAATAATTGCAACTTGATCAAATGGTGCACCTGTTATCATAGGTGAACCTCTTCCATGCTGCAACAGTGGCTTTTTGTTGCCTTTTTTTCTTTCCAAAAAGCTGTTGGTATTGCTTTACTAGGCCCCGAAAAAACACATCCGAGGTGTCAAATAAAGTGTACAGACGCCAGAGGCGCCTGCAGCCCCGGGACTGCTGCTGAGCCCCGCGGCTGGGACCGCTGGAACGAGTGACGGGAGAGCACATATAGAAAAAAAAAAAAAAAAAAAAATCGTTTCCAAAAAGGCACAAGTTCCTCGACACAAAGGTACAATAAAAATATATGGCCACTGAAATCCGGGCGCCTATGGGGAAGCGGTGCCCCTCCGGTGGGATCCCGGGAGCGACAGGGTTTGGCCCCGGCCCCCCCCCCCCGCCCTCCCCGGTCTCCCTCCCCCCGGCACCGCGCACTCCCGCCCGCCCCACCGCCAGCGGGGCCCCGACAGCCCGCGCCCCGCCGCGCCACGGCCACGCGTGGGACCGCCCCAGGAGGCCGGGAACTCAGAATAAGTGGGGGGGGGGGGGGGGGGGGGGGGATGTGTTTGCGGCGTGCTCCCCGCCCCGGCCGGCTCCCGCATCACTGCTGGCGGTGCCGGCTGCCGCTCTCCGCGTCGCTCTGGTCGTCGGTGAAGCAGACGTCCACGTCGCTCTCGTTGTCAGTCTTTTGCTCCTCCTGCTCGGGGTGCGCGTAGCCAGAGTCACTCCTGTCCTCGGCCGCCTTGCCGAGGCTCTGCCCCGGGTGCCGGGACTTGACGTGCCGCTCCAGGTCCCGGCGCCGCACCAGCACCTTGCCGCAGTACTCGCAGCGGTAGGGCGTGTTGCCCTCGGCGTGCAGGCGGATGTGCTTGTTGAGGTTGCTGGGGTCCCCGAAGGGCCGCAGGCAGACCTTGCACTTGAGCGGCTTGTAGCCGGTGTGAGTCCGCATGTGGATCTTCAGCCCGTACTTGCGGGAGTACAGCTTCCCGCAGTAGAGGCAAAGGTGCCCGGTTTTGGGTTTCCCGCCCGCCGCCCCCGCCGGCAGCGCCTCCAGCCGCCCGCGGCCCTTCTCGGCCGCCAGCTCGGAGAGCTGCTGCGTGTGCATGGCGATCTCCCGGTCGATGCTGGCCAGCGAGCCCAGCTCGGCGGCGTGCAGCCCCGCCGCCGGCCCCCCGAAGTACGACACCGACTCCGGGTACTTGAGGAGGCCGCCGAGGTGCAGCTTCAGCGGGTAGTAAGGCGCGGCGCCGTAGAGCAGCTCCCCGTTGCAGACGGTGAGCGGCATCACCGGCAGCCCGCACTCCCCCGCGTACGCCCTCAGCCCCTCGAAGGGCGGCAGCGCGAAGCGCTCCAGCGCGCCGCCGGGCACCGGCGGGTAGCGGGCGGGCGGCAGCGCGGCGCCCGGCGCCCCTCGCTCCACCTGCCGAAAAGCCGAGGCCTCCTCCAAGGGCGAGAGCAGCGGGAAGGCGCGCAGCCCGCCGCCGCACGCCAGCCCCGCCGCCGCCGCCGCCGCCGGGGGGGCGGCCTCGCCCGGCAGCGCCCCGCACTTGGGCGGCGCCTCGGCGGCGGCGCGTCCCGCCCTCAGCCCCCCCAGCAGTTTGGAGAAGCCGAGGGCGGCGGCGGCGGCGGCGGCGGCGGCGGCTCCCCGCGCCTCCTCCCGCAGCGGCCCGGCGGGGCGGAAAGCCGAGCGCGCCCCGGGGCGGAGCGCCAGCCCGTTGCCGCCCGCCGGCCCCAGCAGCGGGCCCGGCCCGCGGGCGGCCCCCACGCTCATGTCCAGGGCTCGCTCCTGCTCCTCCTTGCCCGCCGCCCGCCTGGGCAGCCCCGGCTTGGCGAGCGGCGGGGAGGCGGCGGCTTCCCGCTTGACGGGCTCCCGCGGGCCGCAGCCGGCGGGCGGGTGGCCGCGCAGCGCGGCGGCCGGCGGCTCCTTGGCGGGGAGGCCGAAGGCGGCGGCGGCGGGCCGGCCGTGGTCGTGGTGGAGGAAGGGCCGGCCGTGGCTCAGGGCGCAGTGGAAGTGGACGTGGGCCTTGAGGCTGTTGGGGTACTTGAAGGTCCTCCAGCAGTACCAGCAGATGTACCGCTCCTCCCCTGCGGAGGCAAGCGGAGGGGATCGTCAGCCGCGGCCCGCGCAACCCCCCCGCGCCCCCCGCCCCCGCCGCGCCGTGCGGGCTCTGCGCGGCCGGGGCTGCGCACCCGCGGCCGGGGCGCCGGGGGGGGAGCAGCTGCCGCCGCGAGTCGTCTGTCGGGGGGCCCATCTGTTGGCGTTTGCAGAGGAGGCAGCGTATGTCAGGGAGTCGGCTGCGCCGAACAAAGGCCAATCTAATGATCGTGAGCCCCTCATTACGCGGCGAGACAATATCCGATATGTATGGGCCATATGTAATCGTTCCCTTTCAGAGGACAATGCCCTTGGTGCCCCGTCCCCTAAACACTTCGGCTTCTCTCAAGCGGAACAGACCTCGGTGGCCGCGGCCGTGGTGCCTGCCCGGCGCTGCGGAGCCACAGGCTTCGCCTTCCCCCTCCCGGCCCCGCTTGCAGCAAAGTGCAAAGTGCTGCCGCCGAGGAGCATCTCCCAGCCCCGCCGGTGAAACGCTGCCTCTGCGGGCAACCTGGCTGTCTGCGTAACTTTACCTTTCTTTCTTTTCTTTCTTTCTTTCTTTCCTTTCTTTCCTTTCCTTTCTCTCTTTTCTTTCTTTTCTTTCTTTTCTTTCTTTTCTTTCTTTTCTTTCTTTTCTTTCTTTCTTTCTTTCTTTCTTTTCTTTCTTTCTTTCTTTTCTTTTCTTTCTTTCTTTTCTTTTCTTTCTTTCTTTCTTTCTTTCTTTCTTTCTTTCTTTCTTTCTTTCTTTCTTTCTTTCTTTCTTTCTTTCTTTCTTTCTTTCTTTCTTTCTTTCTTTCTTTCTTTCTTTCTTTCTTTCTTTCTTTCTTTCTTTCTTTCTTTCTTTCTTTCTTTCTTTCTTTCTTTCTTTCTTTCTTTCTTTCTTTCTTTCTTTCTTTCTTTCTTTCTTTCTTTCTTTCTTTCTTTCTTTCTTTCTTTCTTTCTTTCTTTCTTTCTTTCTTTCTTTCTTTCTTTCTTTCTTCTTTCTCTCTTTCTTTCTTTCTCTCTTTCTCTTCTCTCTTTCTCTCTTTCTCTCTTTCTCTCTTTCTCTCTTTCTCTCTCTCTTTCTTTTTTTACTTATCTATTTCCTTCCTTCCTTCCTTCCTTCCTTCCTTCCTTCCTTCCTTCCTTCCTTCCTTCCTTCCTTCCTTCCTTCCTTCCTTCCTTCCTTCCTTCCTTCCTTCCTTCCTTCCTTCCTTCCTCCCTTCCTCCCTTCCTCCCTTCCTCCCTTCCTCCCTTCCTCCCTTCCTCCCTTCCTTGTCTTCCCTTTTCTAACACTTTTTCTGTTTCCCTCTCCTTCCTCCTACCTCTTTCCCTCCTCTCCTCTCCTTTCTTCTCCCTTTTTTCTTCCTGTCTATACGTGTCCACCTCTCTTTCTCATCCCTCCCCGTCACTACATTGCACCCCCGGAGCCCCCCCCCGTCCCTGCCCGTCCCCGGCTCCTCCGCACTCCTGAGCTGATGCACCGAACGCCGAAGGGGAGGCCAACTGCCACACAGAAACGAGAGGCCGCTCCAGGCCTGGGGCCAGCTCCTCACCTTTCGGGGGGTCCCTTAGAGGGTGACGGGGGGGGGGGGGTGAGGTGGGGCACAAGCGACCGGGGATGGGGGCGGGGGGGGGGGGGGGTTCGGCTCATCCCTGCGCACCCGGAGAGGCCGTGGGTGGCCGAGGAGGACACGCTGGCCGCGACCAGCCCCCCGAGAGGGTTTTCGTTGCAGCGCAAATTTGGGCCAGTGATCAGCCGGTGGCTGTTGCAGGTGAAACACAAAGTCTTCACTCTCCGCGGGAAACGCGGGCGCGAACGCGCGTGGAAGGATCCAGCACTGTGACGCGTGTCTCGTCGCCCGTGTCCCTGCCGTCGTGCGCAGCCCTTCCTCGCTTGCCGTGGTCCGCAGGCTGTGCAGAGATACGCGGTCCGTGGAAGTGGTTTTTTTTCGCCCCGTCGAGGAAGGAGGGAGGCGGGAGCGTGGCTGTCCGTCCCCGGGTGGGACAGCGGCCACGAGAGACGGAACCACGGCCACAGTCCCACCGCCGTGCATCGGAAAACGGGGAAAGGAGCGGTACGGACCGAGAGGCGTGCGGCCACGGACCTCCGCGGGCTCCCACCCACGGCCCGCCTGTGCCTCGGTGGGTCTCTCCAGCGGCGCGGTTTTGGCCCCGGTGGTTTTCGGCAAAAGCGCGGCGGGACCGGCAGGACCGGCTGCGGCCCGAGCGCCACCGAGCCCGGCCCGGCTCCAGTCCGGCAACCGTCATCGGGAACAAAAAAAAATTAAAAATTTAAAAAATATAAAAAATAATAACAATAATAAAAAAAAAAAAAAAAGAAAAAAATAGAAAAGAAAACTACCCCTTTCTCGTCACGGTAAACCCAAATGTATGGGGTAAAACACAGATTTCCAAAGCTTTCTTTTTTTTTTTTTTTTTTTTTTTTAAGGAAAAAAAACACTCTGAATTTCTTCCACCCTGGGTTTTGCGGTTTTTTTTGGTTGGTTGGGTTTTTTTAGCGTACTATCCTTAAAAGAAGAGCGCTTCAGCATTTTCTTACACCTATTCTGAGTCCGTATTAATTAGTCTGGAAACTGTGAGGCCGGAGGCGCAGCAGATCCGCGAGGTCAGCCGGCGGCTAAGCCTCACTTCGACGGGACGAGGAAGATGCCACACGCTGGGTGCCTCTCGCAGACCTGAGCTTGCTTTCTTTTATTTTTTCCCACCGAGCAGCACCGGTACCCATCCGCAAGCAGAGGCTGCTGGGGAGAGGGGGGCAGAACCCAGCACCGTGTCCTCCTTCCCGCAGCCGAAACTTCGCCAGAACCCAGGCTTTTCGAGGGGGGTGACCCTCCGCAGACTCACGGCCTCACCGCCCTTGGACGTGACCAAGAGTTTCTTCTCCGGGTACAGGTTTAGCAGAAGGAGGGAGGGATTTGGGCTCTTGAGCATCACACGAGTCGGATGGGACGTGGGCAGCCGGCACCCGCCGTTTGGGCGCTCAGCCCTCCAGGCCTGACCCTGATTACCCCAGCCAGATTTGGGGGGGGGGGGGGGGTGGTGAGAGGGGGCTCAACCCCTCTCCGGATCGTGCCCTGGCTCCCTCCTCAGGGGCACCGCCCGGCTGAAGGATCCTCTGCATAGGGCCGGGGTAGGGGGGGTCCCCCGGCCACCCGCTGACTTTAGGCTTAGCCGGAGGTGGGCGAGTGGTCGCCGGTTGCACCGAGCCGCCGCCGCGGCAGCCCGACGTGTGAACGCTGAGGGGTTTCGGCTTCTTTTACCCCGTTTAATATGCTGCCACCTGAGCATTTTCGGTAACGCCGCTGTAATTCCAGCTAAAGATCGGCTTGCGGGTTGAAACAAGCGGTCCCGGGCGGGTGTCCTCCCCTTCCCGAAATCCTCGTACATCCTCATCTGAGTGTAATTTGACGCCGACTTCATTTTTTTACCTAATGCATCCTAATTTACGGGGTCTCCTCAGCGCCCGTTTTGACTTGACTATGTGAATCTGCCCCCAAAATAACCTGAAAATAGGATCTGGAGCCCTGACCGAGGAACGCGCAAGGTGAAAGAGACGTTTGGAGCAACTACGAAGCCAAAATGCTGCCTCGCATAGCAACACTAGCGCTGTTTCATAGAAATCCCATTTGCCTCTCAAAAGATCATTAAATTTTGCCTATCAAAAGATCATTAAATTGTGCCGATGCCGGAACGACTCGGGGCACGGGGGCCTTTCCATACACTACCGAGTTAATAGATCACCCTTTAAACATAAGCGGATGGAGTCTTAGTTTAAAGGGTGGCAGGTTAAAAGTCACTGCAGCTGGGCTGGTGTTAATTTTTCTGAGAGCGCGGATTTGAAAGGGCCCGCGTTTGCCTACCGCGACTTGAGCTCCCGTCAAAGGTGTCAGTTAAAGAGGGTTTGGTTTGTTGCATTTACTTTGGTTGCTCTGAAAACGAATGCCCGCATCCGTACCTTTCTCGTCGTGCGTCGGGGTGGCCGTGACGGGGATGTCAAACCACTGAGCCAGGGGGTTGGAGTACCAGACGGTGAGCTCCTCTCCCGGCTGGACATCTCGCAGCGCCCGGTAGAAAATCTGGGAGGGGGAGAAAGGAAACTTCTTCAGGAGGCTTGAGAGGGGAGGCAGGTGGCGGAGAGCAGTGTCGGGCCGGCCCGGAGCCGCGCGTGGGGTACCTGTCCTCCTGGCAGATCCGCAACAGCCTCCAGTGTCTGCTCCTGGGAGTTTCGGGCAGCCCGGATTAACCCTATCCACTCCAGAGCTGAGCTCCCGGCTTCATCCACTAATTCCCCTCTCACCATCCGCACCTGGAAGACAGGCGGCACCGCTGTCACTTCCACGCGAGACCAAACAGAAAGAAAACAAGAAGTTTACCCGTCCCACTCTGCCCTGCCCGGCCAGCCTGCTTCCCCACGCCGGGCAAGTGTCTGGGCATCGCAGCTCGGGAGCAGCGGCGAGAGCATCCCCTTTTGCCACCGGCTCGACTCTTCCATCCTCACCCACCTTTGGGAAGGCCCTTCCTCAGCTCGCAGGTGCCTTGGGAGAGCTGGAGGGGGTTGCTGCTCTGCGGGGGTAAGGATGGAAGAGCCCGGTCCTGGCGGGGACCTGCGGCATTGCGGGGGAAAAAATGGGATTTTTCCCTTGGGTCGCACTGGCCTAAACGCACCTTCTTCAGTCGCAGCCGCTGCGTTTAGTTTAAGGCTATATTAAACTCCCAGGTAATTTTTTTTTTTTCTGTTTTTTTTTTTTTTTTTTTGGAAGGGTCTGTGAAGTTTCTGAGACCGTGCAAAACAATTGCGATATACAGGGTTTGTCGGGAGACGGGGAGGGGGAAAGGAGAGAGGGTTCTGCTTAGCTACAAAGTCTCTGTAGCCCCATACTTCATAATCTGCTTGCCCATACAAAGAGAAAATGAAGTGCCCGTTCCCTGAATGACCGTGCAATAAAAGTCATCGGAACAAAGCACTCTAAAGCGAGAAACCAAGGGAGCCAGATGAGAAATAAATTTGAGTGGGCTGGCAGAGCGTTTAAAAACAATTAAAGGGCATTAAAAATCCGAGCGGAACGCGTGAGCCGCGGCTGCCCGGGGGGTGGAATGAGGGATCTCATCTTCAGCCCCCCGAAGAAGCGCGATGGACGGGGCGAGTACCCTCCACCGCCTCCTCCTCGCTCCTTCCCGGCTCGGACATCGAGTGGCCCTGGCGCCCGTAGCCGGGTGGCCGTGACACCCCCCCACACACACACACCCCCCCCGCCCCGTTTGCGGCCCCGGGGGTAGGACCTGGCCCGAGGTTTTGCGGGAGAGGCCGAGCTCTGCTCCGCCGGGCGCGGAGCTGCTCCGCCACCCGCGACCCGCACCCCGCTACCGCCCCGCGCTCCCCTCCGGCCCCCGCCAAAGGATTCGCGGCCAAGGAGAGGGGTGGGGAGGGGGGTTTGGGGGGGGGGGGGGGGCACAGACCCGAGCCAGACGCAGAAATAAATCGGTGCATCTGCCTCTCCCCCCCTGCTCCTTCCCCGGATAGAACCCGCGGGCTGTGAAAGCCCCCACGCCACCGTCTCGCCGAGGCTCCACGGGCCGTGGCGAGTCCGAGCCCCACCGGGGAAGGGGCAATGCCCGAATGAGCAGACCCCCGCGGGGGGGTGGGGGTGGGGGGGTGGGGGATGAGGGGGGTGGCGGGCGGCGGGACCGGCGCCCCCCCGGCCCCGGGCCCCGGGCACGGGGCTGCGGCGGCGCTTTCATCACGTCTGTGTCCGAGGCGGGGGGCGCGTCCGCTCCTCCGGGAGAGCCCCCGGGGTGTCCCTCCGGCCTCGCCGCGGGGGGTCGGGCGGGCCGGCGGGGCCCCGCCGTTGGGGAGGAGGGGGAGAGGGCACGGGCGAGCAGGCTTTCCCGGCAAAGCCGCGAAGGAGACATCTCGGGACGCTCTGGAAACGCTTCCCTTTCCTTTCCTGGCTCCCTCTAGGAAGGGAGGATCGAAGAGAGCGCGGGGAAGAGCAGCCTCTTCTCCCAGGCCGTCTTCCCCCGAGTCAACGGAAGAGCGAGGTCCAGCGGTGTAGGGGAGACCGTAGGGAAATACCTTTTTCTTGGGTCCTGGCTCCCTGCGGTCTGACAGGTACTTGCCCAGTTTGAAGGTGCCCGGCACGGGGCCCAGGCGCAGCCCGGCCGGGATGCAGCTCTCCGCGCTGACGCTGGTGGCCGGAGCCCGGCTGGTTTGCATCGCTGCCTCTGGGTGGGAGCTCTCGGGAACCCCAACTACTTAAGGGGGCCGGAGTGCCGGCGGCGAGCGGCGGGGAGGATGAGCACAGGCGTATCTCCGCCCGCAGAGTGACGCGGCGGTGTGTGGACGCCGGCTTTTCAACGGGAGCAGGAGGGGTACCCCTTGGCAGGGGGATGCTCTGGGGCGCAGAGTTTGGTGAGAGAGTTTGGCTCCTCGAGCAGCTGCGGAGTCCCATCCAAGAGGGTCACATGGAGCCTTTCCCTAACCCTCCTGCATAATCAGGCGGAGTGAATGGCTGGCAGACAATGGGCCAGGCGACCTTCCCATTCCTAAAAATCCAATTTGTCAAGGGCAAAGAAAAGGCGCTGGTGAATCAAAGGTCTGGAGGGACCATTAATCCTCAGCATGGGGTATTGTCCCCCAGACAGTTACGATATTTTAAGTGACAAATCCACTGTATAATTTCTCCATAAATTTTACTTCCTTTTATTGTTCCTCGACAAACCAGTTTTGGAAAATAAGTGACTATTTTAAGTCTACTTGGCTGAGCCTTTTGAGGTTTAATATACTTCAAAGATTTTTAATTCTCTTCCCTTGGCTTTATTGTAAAGGAGATTAAACAAAGAGATGGGGAATGTTTTGAGGACTTGTTAACTTCTATTGATTCCCGGCGTGTGCCATACAGAAATTGGGCAGGTACTTGATGGGAAAACACCAGAAAATACCTACACTACTTTTTTTTTTTTTTTTTTTTTTTTTTTTTAAAGAACGACCATATTACCATTTCAGTGGGTTGGTTTCAGGCCAGTAATCTGTTCAGAAGAGCTTTGATCCTTAAGGAGGATGAATAGCACAAAATATGAGCCGCCTTAGCCCCTGTAAAACACAAACCGCTGCATCTGCGAACGCTGGGGAAGCTGTGCCTGCAGTTCGTGCGATTAAGAAACAGAGACAGGAGGAAATAGAGACATACAGCCACCAGGAAACAGAGAGGCACGGCCAGCAGATAACACAGATGTCTAGCGAACAGCCTGCAGCTGGATTCCTCGTTTAATACATCCACAGGTTCCTCTCCCGCACGCAAAATCGCTTGCACCGAGACTGCTTGCGGAAGGTGGAACCTACAAGAAGCCACCGTAATTAAAGCCAGAACGAAGCGACTCGAACAGAGTGCGTGTACGTCCCTCCTCTTCGCATAAATATTTTAATTAAGATACAACAAGAATCGATACAAGAATTTTCCAGCAGCTGAAAATGAAAGGTGTGCGACTTTTTTCTTACGCACGTGCAACAGTCCAGATGTGCCTGTCAGACCACAGAGTGCACTAACAAATTCAGTTATCAACTTTCGCTTTTATAGTCCTGTCTAATTCTCGCTAGCAGGTTTTCTCCGCTCCATTCCTCGTACTCTCCAAAAAGAAGATTTCTGAACTTTTCTCCTGCAGAGAATTTGCACACACAGATTTTATCCATTGCTTTCAGAAGCAATTGCAGATATGGAGCTTTTTTTTTTTTTTTTTTTTTTTTTTTCTTTCCCTCCCTGCCGTTTTTGTAATTGTCAGGTATAATAAATTTCAAAAGAAAAAAAAACAAAAAACTACTCTTAGAGGTGTATCTGCCGATAGGTGTCAGATAACTGAGAGGGCTCTTCTCAAGTAACCCCGCTTTCTGCAGGATAAACCTCGGCACGTCGCTCTCGATGTGATCGTTAGCGTGGCCTTTACTCTGGATTTGTTTGCCGCCGTCGCGAGTGGCACCGTGGGAGCGAGGGCCGCAGGGATGCTCACGGGGAACCAGACCGGCGCGTCTCACGAATTGGCGGCCGCAAAGATGCTCCTTCCCCTCTCCCTGCCCGGCACCGCGCCGGGATGGCAACAAAAGCCCAGCCTGGCAAGTTGCCGCCGCGATGACACTTGCCCACGCCGGTGGCCGCTCCCTGCCAGCCCCCCCCCCCCCCGCCGGCACCGGCCCCCGCTCCCGCTCCCGGGGAGAGCCCTCGAGTGTCAGCATCCCCACGGAGGCCGGCGGGCAGCGAAGGGCCGACCGCGCCGCCCGGTCCCCCGCCCCCGGCGCTGCCCACGGGCGTTGGGCCGGGAGCGTGGGGCTGCCCCGGCCGGGTGAGACGGCGACGCGGCCGGGACAGGACGGGGCACTGCCCCCACCACCACCCCCCGCGTTCCGGGGGCTGCTGGCCGGTACTGAGCCCGCGTGGATTTATTTTCAGTAAAGATACATACTGGCTCTCACGCGAGATAAACGTCGCGCCTGCCCCCCCACTTCCCCCCCTCCGCAGCATCGATGATCATCGATCGCATCCCTCCGGGGTGCGGACCGACTGGAGGGGGGGGGGGGGGGGATGCTCTTCGTTTCGGCAGGGACGGGAAGGAGAGGGGGGGGGGGTCGGGGAAAGAGGATGTGGGGGAACTGAAGATGACCCCTTTGATCAGCGGCCTGAATGGGGAAAAAAAAGGATAAACAAGAAGTTGAGGGCAATAAATTTAAGCCATGAACATGTCCCAGTAACCTCTGGCCTGGCCGCTTGAGGATGAGACCGGGTTGAAATTCCGAGAGCGGCAGAGGTAGAGAGAGGGCTTTTAAGGCGACCAAGGTATCCTACTGCTCCGCCTCGGGAGCCGCTCCCTCCCAGGCCTTAATGAGTCAAAAAGCGTGAACGACACGCGAACAATTTTATCAATAGGACCATGTAAAGGCCGACTGTGAGGAAAGTTATTTATTAATATAGCCGATTGTGGCTGGTTCCCATCCACTCAGAAAAGAAAAGCCCTTGCTCTGGAAGCATTCACACCAGTTCTCCAATTTTTATTCTGTCCTGTGGCTCAAAGTTGAAGTTCCCCAAGTGAAATAAATTGTCCACAAAAGAGGAAAGGAACCACATTTTCTTTTATTTTTCCTTCCCTAAAAAGGAAGGGTGAAACCGATCTAATGTGCCCACTGGAGCAAGATGCAGCATGAAAGGCCGGGTGTTAAAAGTAAAAGCAGCCTTTGGAGCAAATGGGATGGAAAATTAAATGAAATTAAATAGCTTGAACGACCGTATTGTCCCTTATTAAAAAGACACATTAATTACATGGTTTCAGCTTTATTCAAAGACAATGTTTAGACTCAATCAAAACATTCCACTATCGCTCTTTATATACTTAAACCGGGCTACTAGAGGCACCATTAAAGCGAGATCACTTTTGCCCAGAGATGCGATGAAAGTTATTTTCCTCGGCGGCCCTTATTTATGCCCACCGCTGAACTGCCGGTGCCCCTGAGTAACACTTTGGCACACTGTTCTCCCTGATTTAACAGGTTGCCCCATAATGAGGCATGAATGTTAAGGAACAACAGTCATCCAAAGAGGCACAGTTGCAGAGAGCAATGTCCCACCAGGGAGCTCCATTCAAACCATCAAACCGCTCCGGCACAGAGAAGGTTCAACACCACATTCAGACCAGCATGAATGCCTGTATACAGGGCCCGGCTCATTATGCCGCGGAGCACCGCAGCGGAGGCTTGAACAAAATGCTGCAAGTTCATTCAGCAGGCCATACTCTGGCTGGGCAGCCCCGCCGACGGCTCCCGGGGTGACCTTTTTCCCAAATGGCTTTGCCCCGCCGAGGCGGCCCTTCCCGGGGCTGCGGGCCGCCCGGCCCCGGGGCTCCCCGTTCTGCCCGGCCCGGCCCCGGGGCTCCCCGTTCTGCCCGACCCGGCCCCGGGGCTCCCCGTTCTGCCCGGCCCGGTCCCGGGGCTCCCCGTTCTGCCCGGCCCGGCCCCGGGGCTCCGGGCCGGGGCTCCGCCGCCAGAGCCGCGCCGCAAGGGGATGGAGATGCAAGGAAGAGGGCGGAGGGTGGGAGGGGGGCTTGCTGAGACCCTGAAACACAGAAATCCTCTTTAAACCGGCCGAAGAGATCAACACGGTCTGAATGCATTTTCTCTTTTTTTTTTTTTTTTTTTTTAATTCTTTTCTTTTCTTTTCTTTTCTTTTCTTTTCTTTTCTTTTCTTTTCTTTTCTTTTCTTTTCTTTTCTTTTCTTTTCTTTTCTTTTCTTTTCTTTTCTTTTCTTTTCTTTTCTTTTCTTTTCTTTTCTTTTCTTTTCTTTTCTTTTCTTTTCTTTTCTTTTCTTTTCTTTTCTTTTCTTTTCTTTTCTTTTATTTTATTTTATTTTATTTTATTTTATTTTATTTTATTTTATTTTATTTTATTTTATTTTATTTTATTTTCTTTTTTCTTTTCCTCTTTCTCTTCTTTTCCTCTTTCTCTTCTCTTCTCTTCTCTTCTCTTCTCTTCTCTTCTCTTCTCTTCTCTTCTCTTCTCTTCTCTTCTCTTCTCTTCTCTTCTCTTCTCTTCTCTTCTCTTCTCTTCTCTTCTCTTCTCTTCTCTTCTCTTCTCTTCTCTTCTCTTCTCTTCTCTTCTCTTCTCTTCTCTTCTCTTCTCTTCTCTTCTCTTCTCTTCTCTTCTCTTCTCTTCTCTTCTCTTCTCTTCCCTTCCCTTCCCTTCCCTTCCCTTCCCTTCCCTTCCCTTCCCTTCCCTTCCCTTCCCTTCCCTTCCCTTCCCTTCCCTTCCCTTCCCTTCCCTTCCCTTCCCTTCCCTTCCCTTCCCTTCCCTTCCCTTCCCTTCCCTTCCCTTCCCTTCCCTTCCCTTCCCTTCCCTTCCCTTCCCTTCCCTTCCCTTCCCTCTCTTTTGCCACTTCTTTACATCGCTCCCTCGATTTCGCCGACTTTCTCCCTTTCAGCCACTCTCTCTCTCAAACTCCCTTCCCTTTACCACCCTTTCCCCCTTTCTTCCTACCCCCGGCCCCCCCCCCCCCCCCCCCCGCGCCATCCACAGCTCCCCCGCGCCGCCGCCGCCTCCCCGCCGCGGCGCTGCCGGTGCCCGGTGCCCGGTGCCCGGTGCCCGGTGCCCGGTGCTGCGGGCGGGCGGGGCGATTGGCGGGGCCGGGCGGTCGCGGCCCGGGCCGGCGGCCCCCAACCAGCTGTGCGGTGCAGACGAGATGCGGGTGGGATATTAAAGCAGCTTTTGAATAGTAATTCAGGTTCTATGGGAACCCGGGCAGATGACAGGAGCTCGATTTGGTATTCGTATTGTTAATGGCGAGCGTCAGCCCAGATCGGATTCAAACACGTTTTGTGCTCGTTAAAAATTCCAGTGTAGGGGCTGAGATTTTTTTTTTTCTTTGAGCCCAGCTTCAATTGGAGGCGAAACTTGCCGCATAAAGTATTCAAAGTCTGTCTAAAGTTGCCTTTTAACCGGATTCTCCCCTTTCCCGCAGCCCCC